TTATTAATTTATTTATTTACTTTTTTATTTATTTAATGAAATACTTTTACACATTGTTGCAAATTTAATCTATTTGTATATTTATATATGAATCAATTTATTTATTTATTAGTTATTTATTTTTTTAATGATTTATTTACAAATATTACTGCAAATTTTATTTTTATTCTCACTTATATATACATCAATTTATTTATTTATTAACTGTTCACTTTTTTAATGATTTAAAAAAGTATAGTAGGATTTAAAAAAGTTTATAAACATTGTTGTAAACTTAAATCTTTTGCTCATTTATGTATGCATCAATTTATTTATTAATTTATTTATCTTTTCATTTTTTAATGAAATACTTATTATTATTATATTTATATATTATTGCAAACTTCATTATTTTGTACAATTATGTATGAATCAATTTATTTATTTATTATTTATTCACTTTATAATAATTTATTTATTAATATTGTTGCAAAATTAATTTTTTTGTTTATCTATGGATGCAACAACTTATTTATTTACTTATTTTTTTTAATAATTAACTTGTAAGCATTATTGCAAATATTTCTTTATTTTATTTGATATGTGTATCAATTTATGTATTTACCTATTATTTCATTTTTCTATAATTTATTTATAAATATTGTTGCAAATTTTTGTTTTGTTGTCTATAAATTTATTCATGTATTCATTTATTCAATTATTTGTGTAGTGATTTATTTATAAGTCATATTTAAATTTATTTATAGATATTAGATTTATGGACTTTTAGATTTATTTATAAATATATTTTGTTGCAAATTTCTTTATTTTAAGTACTTATGTATCCATCAATTTCTTTCTTCATTCACTTTCTAATTTATATATTTATATATGATATAATTTATATAATTTATATATTTCATTCATTTATTTACTGATTTATTTGTAGAATTTATTGTAAACGTTTTTATTTGCCTCATTTATGTTATTTATTTTTTATCCATCTAGTTTTCCATTTATTTTTATTTATTTTAATTTATTATTATTTATTTATTTTTATTTATTAAATTTATTTACTCATTTATTTATTTTATATAATAATTTATTTAATTTTTTATTTAGTGGTAATTAATTATTTATTTATTTTTTAATTTTACTTATATAAAAATTTATTATATAAATTTTATTTTCATTCAATTTTATTTATATAAAAAAAATAAACTGACAGATGAAGTAAAACTAAACAAATAAATAAATATATAAGAAAATGAATAAATAAAATAGGAAAAAATAAAAAAATTGATACATAAATAAATAAAATGAAGGAATTTAGAATTAATAAAGTCTATATATAAATAAATAAATATAGAAGAAAATAGAGAAATAAATGAATAAATAATGCATAAATAATGCATAAATAAATGAACTAATCAAAGAACAAATAATAATGAACTATAATAAACTAACTATAATAATCTATAACAAAATCTATAAAGAAATGATTGAATAAATATATAAATAAATACATAAATAGTACATAAATAATAAAAAAAACAAGGGAATTCATAAGTAAACAAAAGAAGAATACAAAAATATTTAAATATTAGAGGAATGAATAAATAATTATATGAATAAATAAATAAGTAAATAAATTGATGCATATATATATATATATAGAATAAAAAAGTATACAAATAAATGAATCAATAAATCGATAATCGATAAATCAATAAATAAATGAAATAATAAAAAAATACAAATATAGAAATAAATAATTAATAAATTAAAAATTATTATTATTAATATATGTAATATATTGTTAATTAATGTAATTAAAATATATTATGTAATGCTTTAATTTTTAATGCGATTTCGATTATCGAATTTGCTTACGATGTTAACCAGTCAAAGAACCACTAGGCAAATTTTAGCGCGTGATATTAGTTTCCTATAAAAAATCATTATAACAGGATGTAATCATAATACAGTTTCAGTGATTTAAGAAATTCTATTCATATTCTGTTATCGAATAAATTATTATCATTTTATTTATGTAATAATTCATTTATTATAATTGTAATATTATATGATGAAATTAATTAATGTTTTAATTTTCTTTTTATTTTTTTATTATTAAAATTATTGATATTTCATACTTCTTTATAGAAAAAAATAATTATCTTTCCATATTTTTCAATTTATATGTAGTTTTTTATATGTAGTTTGTGATCATTTTTTGAAGAGATGACTTTAGAGAAAGATTTTACTCAAAAGATGGCACTAATGATCAATTCTTACTTTATTTCTATCCTTTTTTATTATTATTACCTGTTTCATACATATCTATTTCATTTACGATATTCTTAAAATGGTACTATACTTCTCTAATTTTCATCCTATCTCTATCATTATTTCATTTTGCTCTCCTCGCCTATATTTACTCTTTGTAATTTATGTATTTAATTTAATAATTTAATAATTCTGATAATTAACTAATTTTATTATTTTTTTTATCTTTTTTACCTTCATTATTTTTTTGTTCATCATCTATTAATTAAAAATCTATTTGATTCAATTTTTTATATTATTTGGTATATGTATATATATTTTGTAAATATTTATTTTTTTATCTTTATATTTTATAAATATATATATTTCATACATCATGTTGATTCGATATTAAAAATATTAAAATTTAATAAATGATATGATATTTGTTGTTTATTTAAAAAAAAACTATTAATCAAAATAATATTCTCAATAAAAAGATCACATATATCATTACATAATTTATACAGAAAATCACTAGAATCTTACAATACGCATGACCAACTAGACAACAAAAAAAACATATGTTCTCCATATGAAGATCTATATATCATATATATATTACTCATGTGTATTTGACAACTGTTGCTGTAACATCGTATAGAAATTATTTAAAATATTTTTTATCATTATATATTATACTATATATTAAACTACTATTAAAAAAATAGAATTATAAAGTTATAGAACTATTTAAAATCATTGTTAAAATGAACAAATTAATTTTTCTGATTGTTATTTTGTTAACTTTATTAATTAATCAAGGTATAATTAAATTATTATTATGCAAAAGATATAGTTAATCTATCTTCAAATATTATTTTTATAATATATATTTGCATTTTTAGGAGAAAGCTTATATTGTTATCGCTGTGATAGCAATCATCCTGGGTGTGGCACACTTTTGAATTGGTTATGGTATTGGGGAGAAACATGTCCAGAATATGATGACAAATGTGTAAAAATTATTGAAAGAAAAGGAGGTAAATTTTTTCTATAATCTATATAGTTCTAGATATTAATCATATATAAAATTTATTTATTAATTAATTAATTATTAAATATATATTTCAGCTGAAACAATGATAACACGTGATTGTTTAAGCTCTGTTCGTAGTTTTAGAACAGATATTCCAGCTGATCGGTATGAAGGTTGTCGACCAGCTGCAAAAGATGTCAGATTAGGACATTATGTAAATAATTCTATTTGGCAATTAGATATTCACAGAGATTATTATGATGAAGTAACATGGTGTTTCTGTTATTTTGATCATAGATGTAATAATTCTAATAATATTAATATTTCAATACTATTGTTATTTATAGGTATTGGAATACAATATGCAATATAAAACATTTATAAGATATTAAATATTAAATATAAATATAAATATTTAATATTTAATATTACATAAATATTATATCAAAGTTTTTTTTTATAAAATTGAATTAAGTGCATTTACTTATATTAGTAGCTGCATACAGTTAAATTTTGATACAATTTAGTATTTGTAATTTTTAATTTTTAATTTTTTGTACATAGTGTAAATAAGCATTTAAAAATGAAAAATATCAATTTTTACATAAAATTCAATGATAATAATCATAAAATCAACAAAAAATTTGATATTAATATTTTAAATTTGATATTGATGTTTCTATCTTTAAAAGTTTTTATTATATTATATAAAAAAATACATTTAGCTTCAAATAGTAAATTCATAATATAGTAAAAATAACATAATATAAAATCTATTCTTAGATATATAATATCTAATTATGTCATATTTCCGTCCACAAAAATCTTTTTATAAATTAAAAGAAATTAAATTATTACTATTTTTATATGAAGTAATATCATATTAAAACATTAAACAATATTGAAAACACATTGATTTATTGTATTGAAAAATTAAAATTAAATTGTTTAATTTATATATAATATATATTACTAAATTTACTATTTTTTTATCAATTTTTTCATCAATAAGTATAAATTTCTTTTTAATAGATATATATTAAAATTCCGTCCATTATTAAACAAAAAAATAATTTTTTAAACTTATTAAATATTAAATGTTAATTTTTATATGTATAATCCATAAAAAATATTATCTTAAATAAAAATATTATCTTAAAATTTGTTATATTTATTTATATTTGAAAATGATACATGAAATTATAAAATTATGGGATATATATTTAATTTAAAGTTATACAAAAACAATACAAAAACAGTAACAGTTTTATTAAAAAACATGTTTATGACACATGAATCTTAAATAATATATAAATAACTTATAAAAATGAGAAATTTATTTTACAAATTTAGTTTGTCATTTAATCTAAGATCATATTTAAATCTAAAATGTGAAAAATTAAAACTAAATTGCTTAATTTATTAGAAAATATAAAATAAATTTACATAAAGAATTTAGTTGAGCTTTAAATTAATTATATATGCAAAACAAAGTATTAAAAAAATTATAACACAATTTTACAATAAATTATTTTCCTAAGCAGCTTTTACTGTCTGCTCTTGTCCTCTTTGTGATATAGGATTTTTCTGAACTTGATTTTCCTTTTGTTTTTCAATTGGTTTTGTATCATCTCTTAAAGCCGGTTTTCCTGTAATTTGAATTTTAATAATTTTTTCATTCTTTGATATTGGATCAATCTCTTTTCTTGGTGCAGTGATGATCAATATTCCATCAGAAGATAAACTTGATTTTAATTGATCAATATCACATTGTTCTGGTACAATATACTTTCGTACAAATTGCCTGGATATCCATCCATGTTCATCCTGTTTTTCTTCATGTTTTCCTTCGACAACTACATTCTTTCCCACAACTTTCACAGTCATTTCTTCTGGAGCAAATTGTTGAACATCCAATGATACTTGAAATTTATTTTTATCAGCTTGTATTGTAGATGTTCCACTGGATGTATGATCTATAATTCTTTTATAAGGCTGATATCTGCGAAAACAGCGACGAGGTCTTAGCATTAAAATATCAGTATCGTCAGGCAAGAAAGATGTTGATAAATCTTCAGAATTCAGTGGAAGTCCAAAAAGCTGGTCAAAGGGATAATAAGATCTCTTCAAATCTTCCCCCCAGTTAAGATATACCGGCAAAAAAGACATTGTTTTTCTTTTAATTCAAAAATAAATTCAATCTCTTATCGAATATTTATTTTCTTAGTTAAAATTTTCTTTTCTTGTAAAGCTTTTTTTTTTTATTCACTCACGTTGCTTGCCACAATAAGATGTTTGGCTAAATGTTTATGCAATAGTTTCGTTCGAATTCTATTATAATGATTACTACGCGCGAATATATATTTCATACGTCATGAAAAGTGGGGATAACAATAATCAAGAAACATATAGAGTTTTCTAGAAATCAATTTTTCTTAGTAGAAAATAGAAAAATTTTAATTGCCAAAATATTAATTTTTAACTTTTAATTAATTATTTTAAATAAAATAAGAACTATTTTAAAATATTGTTTCTATTTAAAGACGCGCGAACATTCAATTACCAACTAGTCCATGTAAATAAAATTATACAATTTCGAATCTTCATGAATCTTCTATTCTATAAAATATATTGTATAATATATATATATTGATTTTACATAATAATTCATTTTACATTAGAAAAATCTTATAAAATATTATATATAAGATTTTTATTTTGTTATATTATACTATTTTTATACTTTGACAATATATTGCAAAAAATATATAAAAATTGTGTTTAAACGACTTAAAAAAATACTTAATGTTTTATATAATTTTAAACAAAATTTCAATATTGTTTTAATTAAAATATAATTATTTCTATATCATTGACAATTTTGTTAAAATCAAATTTCAACAATTATAAACACATTTATTTAAAGAAATATTTTATTTCCAATATTTCTTGATGATAATGCTATTATATCTTTGTGATAATGCTATTACATCAAACAAAAATAAATTATTAAAACTAGAATCAAAATTAAATTAATCAAATAACAATTATTAATAGTTAATAATTTTGAATTTAGAAATTATATTTTCTTAATAAAAAAATATTAAATAATTGATAAATGAATTAATTTTCTTAAAGTTTATAAGATTTTATTTAAAATTTATGATATATTCAATAATTAATATTCATTTTTATTTTTTTGTTTGATTTACAATTCTACTTTAAGATAGTTTGTTTTTTTAATCTCTTTTATTTTTTTAATCTGATAAATATATTTCCAGTTAAAAAATTTCCTCTACTGAATTTTCTAGAAATAATATATACGTATTAAATAAATCCATTATATGTAATAATTATATATATATAAAATTTACATAGTTAATAAACAATTTTGAAGAAATTACTATCATTATACTATTATTATAAAAATCTTAAATTTAAATAAGTAAGACGAAAAAGATGTTTATATATTTTTATAAAAACTTTCTTTTTCAAATAAATTATATGTAATATAAATATTATATTATTAAATTTATTAATAAATTTTAAATAATATTATACAGTTTATTATAAACTATATTTAATTTGAATACTTAAGTATTACATAAATTATAAATGAAAATACAACTTATTTATTTAATTCTTATTATAGATATTTGAAATATATACGTACATATTTTAAAATACAAATATGAAAAATTTTAATTTCATACATACAATAAACTCTTTCTGACTGTTAACCTAGATATACATATGTATTATACAGTGCCCACTCAATAGTTGCTCCGTTCTCGAATTCTCTTGAAGTTTCGCGACTGCGCAAACTCATATATAAATACGGCCGATAAGAACCGCTATCGTCAGTATTTTGTTAGCAACCAAACAGTGAAGATCGCAAGTTTGAGTGAATTTCACTCAATTTCACTAAATAAAAGCATTAGATATTAATACATTTGTCAAATTAAATCGTCGCAAAATGTCATTAGTACCTTTGTTATTCTCTGATTGGTGGGAGACTCTGGATCGCCCGCATCGTCTCTTGGATCAGAATTTCGGATTAGGCCTTTATCCGGACCAATTGTTATCACCGAGCCGATTGGAGTTATGTTTACAACCACGAAGAGGAAACGTTTACATCTCCAGACCGAACTGGGCTGAACTGTTTCGCAGTGACAGAGGCAGTTCAACTGTTCAAGCAGACAAAGATAAATTCCAAGTTGTACTTGACGTTCAACAGTTTGAACCTCATGAAATCGATGTTAAGGTCGTTGATAAATTTGTCGTTGTTACGGCAAAGCATGAGGAAAAACGCGATGAGCATGGTTGGATTTCACGTCAGTTCGTCAGAAAATATCTGATTCCAGAGCAATGTGATCTTGAACAAGTCTCATCGAAGTTATCATCTGATGGCGTTCTTACTATCACTGCTCCAAGAAAGGATCAAGGAAATGTAGAGAATGAACGAGTAATCAAAATCGAGCAAACCGGTAAACCAGCAATCCAGACGAAACCACCCAAGCAGCAGCAGAACCAAAATGAAGAAAACGAAGAGAAGAAATAAAAGTTTCAATTAGATATTTCTGCCATTTATGAAATTTCCTAATATAACTATTATTGTTGAATTACAATTAAATTCCTATCGCAACATTTAAAATTATTATAGTATTATTAAAGATGTGATGTAATATATATTGTGAATAGTTATTTCATTTTTTTTTATGTATATTGTTTTCATAATTACGTAAATAGATATATATGTATATGTTATATAATTATTTCTGCCAATATAGATTTATAAGATTTATGTAATTTTTTTTTATGTTTTAATAGATTTGTAATTAAATATTATATTTATTTTTTTGTGAATTTTATCTTCTTATCATTCCTAGTTTTCAATTCTTTCTATTCTTGAAAATCTGAACATAACTTTAATTCTTAAATTTTTGAAAATTATAACAAATATAATAACAAATTATAATAAGATATATATATATATATATCTTATATATATCTTATATATATCTTATATAATAAGATATAGATATATCTTATTTGAAAATCTTTTAGTAAAAAATATCAAATTTTAGCATATAATTAAAAATTCGTTATATTTTCTGTTGTATTATTTAAAAAATAAACACTATCCAAAATATATATTATTATTTGTAATTGTTAATAAAAGCCATTGCAAATATTATTCTTTAATTAAAATTAGAATTCTTAGTATGCACAATATTAATAATAATATTTGTTTTAAAGAATTTTTTGTTTAAAAAAAAAATTTAAGAGTTAATTTTTTTTATGAATTTCAAAAGTACAAAATATAATGTCAAATTTCATGATAAAATACACATGGATATTACAATTTAGACATATTGTTTGATTTCAATAGATGTACAAATATAAATGTAAAAAAATCATGTTTATTAATTTTTAATATGTATATTTTCCAATTCCTTTCACTTTCAAAAGTTTTAGTACATTTATTAAAAAATTCATAAAAACTTATAAAATAGATAATTAATAAATGATATCAAATTTTTAAATTTAAATAATAAAATTAAAAAAATAAAATTTAAATGGTATTAAATTTTTATTATAATATTCGCATTTAAAAAATTAAACATATTAAAATAATTTCCATTGAACAATACATTTAATTTTCATTAAAATGTATATGTAATATATATATATACAAAACGTATACATATTACTAAAGAATTCTTTATAATTAATCAAAATGTCCTTAATTAAAATTTAATACAAGGAATACAGGTTATATAAATAATACTGAAATATTATACTATTTTTTATAATATATTTACACATCATTTATTCTTCATCGCAACAAACATCTTTTGAATATATATATATATATATAAAATAGTTATAATTATCTGTATGCTAATGAATATAATAAAAAATAAACACACGAAAATACTAAATATACAAAATTAATTCATTTTTTATTGTGTTTGTTTTATTTTCTGAGGTTCATCTTCTACCATAGGCTTCCCCGTTTGTTCGATTTTTATAGTTTTTTCTCTTTTACTCTCAGCAGCTTCAGGTCTTAGTGGTGCTGTTATTGTTAAAATACCATCTGTAGACAAACTACTTGCAGCTTTCTCAGGATCACATTGATCTGGTACTAAATATTTTCTAACAAAGTGTCTAGAAATTAAACCATGATCATCTGCCTTGTCTTCATGTTTTCCTGTAAAAATAAAATTTAATAAAATTTAGAATATACATACAATATTTAAATATTCATATTTATTGTATTAAGTTATTTATACTTTTATACATGTTGCAATGCTATAAAAAAAGCGCGCAATATACATATAATCATTACATTCTTATTTTTTTTTATATTTTCATATAATTTTTTCCTATTCTTGCATTCAAAATATTCTGTTTGCTTTAAAAAACTTACCTTCCACAACAATGAAATTGTCAATAACTTTGACATTTATTTCTTCTGGTTTAAATTGCTGTACGTCAAGAATCACTCGAAATTTATCTTTATCATTTCTCATTATGGACCAGCCACAATCTTCCTCTCGTTCCCAATCTATCCATGGTCGAGAAAAATTATAAGGAAATGATCTAAATGGTATTGATGGAAAAAGTTGATCTGCTCGCAATCCTCTTCCAAAATGCTGATCCAATAATCGATGTGGTTGTTCTAATGCTTCCCACCAATGGGAAAACAATCTTGGAATTAATGTCATTCCTCTCTTCATTTTGAATTTTTACTTTTATTCACACTTTCTTGAAAGAATTAACTTTGTTATCCAATGCGGAAATACGTGCGCACTCCTCACTTGATCTCTGTATACTGACAGCGTATGCCGGCAGCGCAACTATATATACTCTTTAGACGCGCGTGAAATAACGATTGAAAATTTTCATGAAAATTCTAGAATATTTTTTGGATTTTTCTAGAAATTTCTAAATCGATCAATGACGTAATGCCATATCTATATGTCATGATTATTTATAACTAATTAATAATTAATAATTAAAAACAGCAAAATATTTTCGAGCGAAAATTAAATTTTTTCTATTTGTTATTTCTTTAATTTTTTATTGTTAATATTTTCCTAAAAAGATTTAAAAGAAAGATAAAAATAAATATATGAAAAACTTTAGAATATTATTACGATTTAAAATTATTTAGAATACACTATTAAAATATGTACGAAGTCAATGCAATAATATTACAATAAATTTTTCATAAAAGTTTGAAATTAATTTATGATTCATACTTATATATTTTTCAGATTTTATGCTTATTAACAAAAGTTTCATCATTTTATTTTGTATAGAATCACATCACCTCTACCTATCCAGATAAGTTGCATCATTGTCTGCCTAATAATATTGCATCAGCTTTATAGTAAATAGATACAAGTTTAGTTTCTATATAGAAAAGATATTTATTTTTGCCATCTAAAAATAAAAATATAAATTAATGATCTAATTAACGATATTTACATATATTTGTTATATAATGTTTATATAATGTTATATTATGTTTATATAAAATATATATTGTCATGTATTGTTATTGTCATATACTGTCATGTATTGTATAAAATTATTTAATATTTTATTTAACAAAAAAAAAAAATATATGAATTAATAATTTGTTAATTTCCTTATTTATATTGTTTTTATATAATTTTTAATAGAATTAATTTTTAAGAACTGTGAGATATAATATAAACATTATTATAATAAATATATTTTCTTTTTCTTATGTTATTTTATTAATTTTTTAAATATTAAATAATATTTTTTTCCATTCAAATTTAATATTTTAATAACGTATAATAATGTTGTCATATGCTGGTCCGTATCGATCTTTTCAAACAAGTTTTCGAAGGAAACCGTGACCGTGCGCAATGTTACATAACATTTAACATTTCTATGCATATGCATATTATAGATATGTATAGATATGTCTGTATATAAACACGATCGTTGAACTTTATTCCTCAATATTAATTTATTTACAAATGTATTTTCAAATGTGAATAAATTAAAATCGAAAAAAGATAATTTTTTTTTTAACTGTTTAGTCATAACTATTTTTAAATATTAAACAAAGGAGATAGAAAATATTTTAAAATGCTTAAGATAAATAATTTATACATGTACATGTATCCATAAATAATTGATATACTATTATATTTTTAAGCATATGTGATAATAATCCTCAAGAAGTTAAAACAATTTAAAATAATTTCTGATAATTACATTTGATATATTTAATAATAATGATATTCAAAATATATTTTTCGAAATTTAAAACAACTAAAGTTGTCACATGGAAATAAATTACACATTTTTTACATGATTATCATCGAAAAAATATATACAAATAATATAAAATTATCATAGATTAACACCTCATTATAAGAGATGCGATATATTGTTGGTATTTTAAATTACACCTAATTACATCTTTTGTTTTTTAATTATAATAAATCGCACCACATCATGCAAAATTAGAATTTTCTAAATGCATTTAATAATATATAAGCGATATATTATAATAAAAATATATTTAACTCTTTAATATCAAAATCAATACATTGACATATTATAATTTTAATAAATATAAAAATTTTTATTTAAAAAATCAGATATTAAATTATTTTTTATTATCAATAAAAATATGTTATTTAAACAAAACAAACAAAACAAATAAATGTTATGTTATTTAAATATTTTATTATAATATTCTTTATTATAATGTATATAATCTAGAAAATGAGAAAAGAATTCTAGAAATTCTTATAGTAACATAAAATAAATATAATATAATATATATAATATAATTGTTGATTTCTCATGTTTTTGATTCAATTGATTGATATAGGTGCATGTTTTTGCATCATTATTGCATTATCATTAGATAACGTTGTATATACGTAAGAATGATTCATTTAGACGCATTCATCAAATTTGTGATGGAGTACGTAAGATTATAACATTTCTCGAATTTTTGGAACTTTCCAGAAAATTCCAATAGTTTCATATTTGGTAAGTTTTAAATTATAAGAGCTTTAATGAAATAATTCAATGTTAATAAAATCAAAAATAAATGTAAAATAATATATCCTATACATTAAATGATTTTTTATTTTAAATACAAATATATATATAAAATTTTTATATAACAATAAAATTTTCCGCAAAATTATAAATTATAATATTAATTTTTATTTTCTCAAATACATACATTTCTTTATATCCCTGATAAAGAAAAATAAGATCAATGACCATTTTTTCACTTACGTATTTGATACGTTTATTATATTATCCATTAATATCATTAATTTCAATAATAAAATAATTTTAAATATAATAAATATAATTTTTCGAACAATGCAATGTTAAAATTGTCGTAATATAATTGTAAACAAAAGCAATACGATTCGATTAATCATATCTAAATTCATAAGTATTACAACATCGTATCTAAATTTGTAAGTATTACAACAAAATAATATAAATATCGATTATTATTTAATTGGCTCAAAAATGATAAAACAAACATGAGAATTGCATTTCTGTTCTTAGTCTAGTAACTTCTCGAAACTCCGCGTATAGACGACGCACCACTACAACGATACTCAGCCATACATAAATAGCGGACGCTGAGACAGAACTCCAGTTGAACTTCAAACATTGGACACATCGCTGAGAAGAAATACGCTGTACCTATTTCTTTCGAATATAAACACGTGAATTTCGATTTCAAATTTTTCAAATATTAAAAGAGAATATCGATTTGAGGAACTTGAATTCGACTGAACACACATGATGTCATTGTTGCCGCTGTTATTTTCTGCCTGGTGGGCAGATTTGGATCGTCCACATCGTATCTGGGATCAAAATTTTGGCATGGGCCTATATCCTGAACAATTAATCTTTCCCAGTTCATTCGATTCGAGAATGTATTCGCCGTTAAACAACAAAGCTATGTTGGACTTGTACCGACCTTTGGCTGAGCTTTTGCGACGTGACGAGGGTGGCACGTCGACCATTACAGCGGACAAGGATACGTTTAAAGTGATACTCGACGTCCAACAATTTAAACCCGAGGAGATCAACGTGAAACTGATCAATCGATTGGTCGTGGTAGAGGCGAAACACGAAGAAAAGAAAGACGAGCACGGTTTAATCTCGAGACAATTTATAAGAAAATACTTGTTACCTGAACAAGTGGATGAAGAGAAATTGGCGTCGAGTATATCTTCCGATGGCATATTAATAATCACGGCTCCATTGAAGCAGATTGAAGAAAACTTGAACGAGAGAAATATCAAAGTCGAGTTCACAGGAAAACCAGCTCTTCATACTGATTCGAAAGAGCAAACAGCTGACGAGAAGAAACCAGTCTCTGAGAATGAAAATCGGGAGGAAATGACAGAAAATCCGACGAAAGACATGCCAGAGAAAAAATAAAATTAAATCTTTCTTATTCCTATAATTTTCTTTTAATTTATTTCTATGTTAATATGTATAGACTGTTTTTTGTTATAGTTAATGATGATTGAATGATAAATAATGATAATTTATGAATTTTTGTTATAAAATATTGTTCATTTTTTCGTAATTTTTTAATAAAAAAAAAAGTTTAATAATATTTTATTGTGTAATTTCTACGACTCCTTTCTTTTCTATAATAAATTATTAAAAACTAATCTTTGGATAATTTTATTTAATATTTTAATTCTTTTTAAAAATTTATTCTTTTTCATTCTAAATACTTTTTTTTTACAAATTTATTTTAAACTACATATATATTTGTTAAAAAAAGTATAAAATATTAAGATTTTTAAATTTTATTTCTTATAGACGAATAAATAATTATAATTATGAAATACTTTCTATTAGAAATACGTATTATTACGAAACAAGATAACTCTTTGTGAAAATATAAAAATATTTTACACGATTTCATTGTACACCTATCCTCTTTAACAATAGAATATTCATATATGGCAGATAGATTACATCTCATTCTGCTATTAAAGAAGATGCAAGAGGATGAGAAACTAGAAACTTACTTAGTATAATAAGTATTATATTTATTCTGTTTTTTTATTATTTCATTATCTTCTTATTATTACATTTAATTCATTTATAATATTCTAAACAAATAATATCTTAATTGCCTTTTGTACAATACAATTCTAATAATTTTAAAGATTATTAAAGATTTTAAAAATAGGCAATATGATCAAACAAATTTATAATTAACTTGTTAATATAATATATTACAATATAAAATATTTCAATGAGCATATTTTAATTATTTAGCGCCAAAACTTAGGAGGCAGTCTTGCATGTGTTGTGCATTACGCGCAAACTCGTAAGTAAGATCATATTGCGGACAAAACGCC